GGGTTAAAGTTTTGGCGGGAAAACCGCTAACTCGGGAACCAGAAAAGCTAGAAAGCTGAAATTTGATGTTCCCCGCCCCTACAGAACTTAAAGATTTCAAATTCAGCCCCCGGGGGTTCGTGGTTGCCGCGTACGGTCCCTTGAGGGTCCCTGGCGCGAAAATCGCTAGCTCGGGAACCAAGAAAGCTGGGAGGTTGGAATTTTCAGGAATGTTCCCAACTCATTTACAACTTCAATTTACCAAATTCAGCCCCCTGCCATGCGTGGTTGCCACGCGCGGCCCCGTGAAATTTTTTGGCTGCAATTTGGGTAACTCGGGAACTAAGAAAGCTGGGAACCTGGGATTTCAAGAGGATGTTCCTTGTCCAACTATAGCGTGGATAATTAAGTTTCCGAAATTCGAGGACCAGTATGTACAACAGGTTTTTAGCTAGCGGAATTTTGAGTAATCTTATTACAGCAGGAAACACTGCAAAAACGCATGATCGCATGAGGCCCTCCAGTGCGAGTCGCCAATGATTCTCCTAAAGGAGCATGTGCAGAAGAAAAAGACCCCACGGGCCGTTTGGGTCCTGTGGGCGGATCGAATTTGGAAATGCAGGGGCTGAACCGGTACTGGGTGGCATAACTAAAGCGTGCATAAGACGATGTATTATTACTGCTAAGGCTAATTTCCGCGTGCCTCCGTCTCCCACTGAAAGCAAATGCGGAAAGCCACTAGACTTTTGGCCGGAGATTTGTTCTATGTTGCGATAATAACTATTGTTATAAAGCTCTGCAACTGTACGGTTTTCCAAATTTTAATGCACAAGTTTTCAAACCCCCAAGCATTTGCGTTTTTGTAAAAATTACTGACAGCGATGACTGCATCCCGATACCCTCATCAACCGCGGCAATTCGTGGTGATATCAAAGAAATGCTTTGAACTTACTTGAATCTATCCAAAATGACCTGGGGATGGTCATGTTCCATGAGATAGAACTCGGAAACAATTTCCAGTGCCGTAACCAAGCCAACGCCCGGGATTCCTTTTTGAGCACAATCGCATCCCATCATTATCGTCATCGCGATAAGGCAAGATCTGAAACACCAGTTTCTCATTTATACACAACATTTCGTGCTTGTTCCCACCGTGACGGTGGAAATGGCGTGCCGAGAAATAACATTATTCTCGTACAACAGGTCCAGGGGGTTTGACTCTACCAGGGGGGTAACTAATGATTTTTCCAATCATTTCCATGGCAAATTGATACCAGAGCATGCCAGTGAGTTAAATCCGGCGTAAGCTTGTTTCTAAGCAACTCTCGAAAGAGGGAGCCAAAGAAAACCTTGCCAATATGTGGCTGCTAGTAGCATTTGCTACTACTCAAGTTACTTTCCAAACAGAGCGAATATGAAACAGAACTTGAAATAACGATTCCTTCAAATGAAATTTCGTTTCATGCCAAAAGTGATGCACAAATGGTTTACCTGCTTAGGCACAATTTTTCATCCAAATAGTCCATTGAAAGATGAAGAATATCGTTTTGTACCTTGCCACCAAAACCAAATTCAACCTCAAATCAATTTACACGGTCCATATGCAGAAGAAATAAAACTATTTTTCTCAACACATTACATGAATTAAAAAAGAATACATGTCCTGGTCGGCTTATAGGGAAACATCTGGCAACTTCTTTCAGCTGCTGATCGTCGCTTTCGCAAAGAAACGCGATAAAGACAGTACGCAAGGAAGATTTTGATAGTTTTTGAGAGATAAATCAAAAAAAAAAAGAAAAATCATGCCTGATAGAGATTATTGCCTCCAAAAAGTATATAATCGAAATCGCGTGTGATGCATCCATGGACAAGACCTCGCTGCTCAAGTTGAGCGCACTGTGCCTCGCCTTCCAGTTTACTCTCCATCCAGCGCACACCCATCGCATTCAGCAACACCTGTAAAAGGAACCTCTTAAAGAACCATTCCTACCTTTTTTCAGTGAATTTTTTTTTTGCCCAAGACCCCTGTCCGTATAAATTTTCATTTTAAGCGGCAATTTCCAAAGGCAAATCAATTACACAAAGACCATTCTAACAACTAGTGCAGGCGATTCCATATCACTGATGTCACTGGAATACGTCAGGCCCTTCGGTCCCGAGCTGCATATCTCCCCAACTGGTACATACTACCCCCTCTTCGATAATTATGATGATAATAATGACAATAACGATGGCAATAATGATAATGACGGTGATAATAACAGCAATAATAACAGTAACAGTGTAAAAATTATGATTATCACAATTAAGAAGCTGTTCGACGCCTGTGATGTTTTCGTTCAGTAAAAAATTTTAGCCAGTGACAAGTATGAGTTGCACTGCAGTTACGGGTAATTCACGCGTATTTCATTAACTGGCCAAGATGAGAATGCTACACTGTGCAACCCAGTGCCTGTCCGGCTCGGGTCCGAAGTATTTTCTTAAAAATATAGACAAGTACAAAGTGTTTTACGTCATATGAAACTATTAAAAAAGGTTGCACCTTAATTTCCTCAATCTTTGGCAACATTTCGTGCTTTAGCTCTGATGCCCCGTATTTCACACCTCGTTTTCTTATCTTCTTCACTGTCACTACTCCGTACTCAGCCTGAAACAGCAAAAATTTGCAATATTTGAAAAATTTCACAGCTAATAATATCCACGTCCATCATTTCACTAGCAAAATCTGAAAATTCAACTGGGCTAAAACAAGCCAAAAGTCCCCATTTACATCCCACCCTGTGGCAGTTGGAGACGCTCAGAAGCAGCCCGAACAATAATAGTATATGCCAACGGCAACTACCCATTGAACTTAAATTCCCTGGTTTCAACTTTTACGCGTTCATTAGTGAAACGTGAGCGTAAAAAAGAGCCGTTTTTGTACCGTAACTGAACCAGAAATATTCTCGTTAAATCCGAACACATGGAGAAGAGTGTCAGTGATTGCCTCAGTCAGAACGAAGCTGACGAAGAATCCAACCCTTAATGTGCAACACTAATCGATTAGCGAAGTGAAAGAACAAATCCTAAAGAAACAGCTAGATCTTTCTAGGAATCACACCCTCGGCTTTTTACATGATACTGGACTAGCTGGCATTACCAGTACTGCTTGTCACTGAACAAGCTAGCCGGCATTTGGTAGACAGTGACCGTTCAGGTAGTCTCTGGAAAAGCTGTTGAAATGTGTGAATAGCAGCAGTTGGAAATAAACAAATCAGGAAATAATGCCCGATAAGAAGAGCCTAGACGATCTTGACCCGCTTTGAGATTTTGCTCACCAATTTCGGGCTGGATATTTAGCCTAATATCAGGCTGTCAAGAACAAAACATCTGCGCCCCCTGTGCTAAAATGGATCTTCACTGAGTACCTCTGAGAGAGCATTTCAAAGTTAAGAACGGTTTTTATAAATACTGAAAAAGAACCCGCTCGCCAGTTTCGCTGATTCCATCGAACACCACAATCGGTTCCACACCCTCCTCCAGAAGACTCCGGCATCTGGTGTAGAATGTACTCAAGTACGGCTTCCGAGCTGTTGAGCAATGTGCAACTGAGCCACGCAACACTTCATACAACCAAATGTGTCCATCTAAAACGAATATACAAATCTAACTGCCAAGCAATTATAGTTCAAGCAATCGCTATCGCAAAAAAACCCACGAAAAGCCGGCAATGAAGCCGCCACAAAAAGTATATAGTGTCCAAAGAAAGCCAAGAAAGAAAAAGATTTCCTACTGCCTGAGGAAAGTAGCCGAGAAAAGAAGGGTGCATTTTGCCTTAAAGGACAGATATGCAGTAGAAATACTTCTAGAATAAGCCTGAGGCACAAGTTTCGCTGGTGTAGTAGGTGGCATTTGCGTTCGAATGTGAAGAGGAGTAGTTCGATTCCCTGCCGGTCTACAAACATTTTCAGAATGAGGGAACCAATAGATGTCGAGTCCCACGTTTCATGCAGTAGGTCTTGCGGGAGTGTGACCTGTGGTGGATCGCAGTTATAGCTAAGGGATGAAACAAAGCTGCTCCACAACTGGTTCATCGGTACAAGCAATACTAAGATTCAATATCTTGATGCAATTCACAGCTAGTAGGCTATGACAAAACTCTCGGAACACTTCAAAGAAGAAAGGAAAAAGCATACCAATAGCAATACGTTTATTACGTAACGAAGATATATGGACCGGTTGTACGAACTTCTGCATATACTCCCACATCCCGGTAACAACCATTTTGAGGGGGCGCACCGCACCCAGCGCAATCCTGAAAATACACAGAACAT